CGCTGCAGCTGTTGCCCCTAAGAAGATGATTCAGACCACTCTGAACAATCTGGTTGTCAAGGGTGCAGGCTTGATCATTCAGGAAACAAAGCAAAAATTCGGTAACTCTCCATACTCAGTTTCTTTCTCCAGCTCAGACACCCTAAATAGCATTTAAGGGTATAAATAACATTTGTGACCTACACTAGTGACTCATGAGACCAAATGGTACAGGTTAGAGTAGTTTTGTCACCATTGAAAATGACTGAGGCACACGCCATAGGTGATAATCCACCTTTACCTACAGGCAGTGAGTAGGCTAAAGGAACCACACCTTGTTGGCAAGACATTTGGGGAAAAAACAGCATATTAATCTTAGCTGTGTCTTAGCTTAGGATTCTTTTTAATATTTCTTAATGTATCCAGGCCCAATATTTAACGTCCAGCATTAGAATCAGTAGGATTGGGTTCCTGGTCAAACCTTTTGGTTATCTTTTGTTAAAACAGGTATAGGTGGCTCGGCGCCTATAGCTCAACCGGTTAAGGCGCCAGCCACGTACACCTAAGGTGGCGGGTTCAAATCCCCAGCCTGGACCCGCCAAACAACAATGGTGGCTGCAACCAAAAAATAGCCGGGCGTTGTGGCAGGCGCCTGTGGTCCCAGCTACTTGGGAGGCTGAGGCAGGAGACTCACTTGAGCCCAGGAGTTGGAGGTTGCTGTGAGCTGTAATGCCACGGTACTCTACCCAGGGGGACAGCTTGAGGCGCTGTCTCAAAAAAAAAAAAAAAAAACAGGTATAGGTAAGGGCATGGTAGTGCACACTTGTAGACCGGGAATTTGAATCCAGCCTGGGGAACATAGCAGACCCCATTTCTTAAGAAAAATTAGGGGTGAAAAAACCCCAAAATAAGAAATTGATCAGAAAACGCAGCCCACATCCTGTGCTTATGGTCACAAACGGTAGTTGGGGCCTAGTAGGGAAACTTAATGCCTCATGCATATTCCAGAAAGGGCATATAACATGACCCCACAGATTGGTGTGCTCAGTGTTCTAATCATTACTAATCATAAGACACACTTAGGATACTCTTGCAGCCCCACTAGTCTGACACTAGAGGTTAATGATTCTTTTTTCTTATGCTACTCTGCCTTCTTCATTTGCAAATGACTAAATTATGAGTCCAAAGTTTAAAAAGTGATATATCACAGGACCTCAAACTGAATTTTGAATTCTCTAAAGCTGATGTGTACATGTTTCAGGAATACCCCAGAAGAGCTTATCTTGCTCTGAGGAGTTCAAGGAATTGATGGACCTGCCAACGTGTGGAGCCAGAAACTTGAAACAACATTTAGCCAAGGCCACGGCTGCAGGTACAGTCAGCTTATGTGGCTGCAGTGTGTGTGCCTGGGTCCCCCCAGTCTCCCCGAGAACCTCTCAGTCTGTGGGCTTGTGTTTTAGGAATCATGGGAGGCCCCAAACCTGCCATCCAGTCGATATCAGCCTCGGCCCTCTTGAAGCAACAGAAGCAGCAAATGTTGGAGATAAGGAAAAGGAAATCAGAAGCTCTCCAGAGACAGTAAGAGGAGCGCATTTAATATTCCACAGTTACGTCATTGATCTCAGGCATCCTCAGCACATCTTCATCACTTTCAAAAATGTCCCTTCATCACTTTCAAAATTGCCCACATCAAAAATGTGGCCAACCCAAATTCCCCAAGATTTGGGTTGGCCACATTTTTAACTCTGATAATTTAAAGTCATTTTCTTATAACCTAAATAGCATTTAAGGGTATAAATAATATTGCTGACCTACACTAGTGACTCCTAAGACCAAATGGTACAGGTTAGAGTAGTTTTGTCACCATAGGAGTAAAGTGTGGAGAGTTTTTCTAAACGAGGAAAACAGGCCAGTAGGGAGGCTCAAACCTGTAATCCAAGCACTCTGGGAGGCTGAGACAGAAGGATCTCTTGAGCCCAAGGGTTCAAGACCTTAAGCAAGAGTGAAACCCCTCTCTTCTAAAAATAGAAAAATTAACCAGGAATCATGGCAGTCCTCTGTAGTCCCAGTTACTCGGAGGCTGAGGCAGGAAGATCACTTGAGCCCAGGAGTTTGAGGTTGCCATGAGCTAGGCTGACACCATAGCACTCTAGCCTGGGCAAAACAGATTGTGTCTCAGGGTGGAGGGGGCACATGTTCACCTGTTGGTGGGTAGGTTGATGTAGTTATTCAGGTAAATTATAAGAATAAGGTACAAGGCTCAGTGCCTGTAGCTCAAGTGGCTAAGGCACCAGCCACATACATCATAGCTGGCGGGTTCGAATCCAGCCTGGGCCTGCCAAACAACAATGACAGCTACAACCAAAAAATAGCCAGGAGTTGTGGCAGGCACCTGTAGTCTCAGCTACTTGGGGGGCTGAGGCAAGAGAATCACTTAAGCCTGGGAGTTGGAAGTTGCTGTGAGCTGTGACGCCACGGCTCTCTATCCAGGGTGACAGCTTGAGGCTCAGTCTCAAAAAAAAAGAAGGAAAAGGTACTAAAAATGGGGCATTATTTTAAAGGTGGATCTAGTGGGAATGCATGCAGAAGGTGGACAAATCAAAGATTCCTGAACTCAAGTCATCTCAACAGTGATAATAGCTACTATTTCCAGGCCCTTAACACACACTGTACTGTACACGCCATAAATAAAGCGTCATCCTCACAGTAGCTCTGGGAGGCATGATTATCCTGCTTCTCCTAATAATGCAGCTGGAGCCCAGAGAGCTAGTCCACAGTAGGACCAAGTTTCAAATTCACCCCTGGACTATGCCAACATCTAGCCATTTGCTGTCCAAACCTGGGCTGCTAATAGGCAGATGGTTCCATGAAAACAAAGTCAATTATAAGTCAAGAGGAAATTCTTTGAAGAAATAGGAGACTGGGTTTGCTCTCAGGCAGGTTAGTTTAAGAAACCAATGGGATATCTGTAGAAGTACTCATGGGCCTACAGGTCATGTAAATATATGACAGAGAAATACAGGAGAACTGCTGTGAGTTGACCACCCAAGGGACTGTAACAGACTAGTAAACACATAGAGGTGGTCAACATAAGCAGCTAGGCTACTACACTGATACATACATGTGGTGCATGTCCAGTCTATGAAAATTAGGTCAGTTTAAGGAGGTGATCAGTATAGGAGGTGGTCAGCTATGGAGGTTCTGCTGTATATGTTGGAGTTGTGGGCCTTGTAGGAAACTGTCAGTTGCAAGGCATTATAATCTGACAATTTTCAGAACTCTACTGGCCAAACCAAATATACCTTTGGGCAGGATTAGGTAGGTAATTTGCAAATTCAGCCTGGAGCTGGCAAGAGTGGGTATGTAGTTGTGGAAAGAATATGCCCTGGCACTAGTCCTGAGTTGAACTGGGGCCTCAATTTCTTCATCTGTGAAATGAAAGATTTGGATTAGGTGATTTCTGAGACTTCTTTTTAAATAGCTTCTAAAACCGTATACAAAATAATCAGTGTGCAAGTCGTAACACTTTTCTGTTAAGGGCTTCCAGACGTCTCACAGGAGTTAGCTCTTCCCATTAGTACCGACTAGATGCAGAGGGAGGCAGTAGGTTCTTGAAGGCCCCAAAGCTAACTGTAGGGCTGGGATATGGTCCCCACCTCAGCTTCAGGCCTTTGCTCTGCAGGTGATGCCCACCAGACAACCAATTGATAAAAACAATCATTCTAAAGCTAGGGTAGCTGGGCACGGTGGCTCACGCCTGTAATCCCAGCACTGTGGGAGGCTGAAGAGGGAGAATTGCTTGAACTCAGGAATTCAAGACTTGCCTGAGGAAGAGTGAGACCCCAACTCATTAAAAAAAGTAAAAAACCCAGCTGGGCGCCAACATAAGTGCCTGTAATCCCAGCGACTTCTGGAGGCTGAGGCAGCAGGATGCCCACAGCCCAGTCCAAGGTTGCAGTGAGCTATGATGCCATTGCACTCTGCTCAGGGCATAGGGTGGGACTCTGTCTAAACAAAAAAAATAAATAAACAAGGAAATAAAAATAAATGGAAAACAAAGCTAGGGCAATTATACAGTTTATCAAATGAAAAGTCAAGTAACCCAAGAGTCAGTGAAGCTAATATTATTCTTACTGTTTGCTAATTTAGATTATTAACCACAGAGGAGAAATTATTTTCCTAACAACTAGTTCTAGCTCATGGCCTGCCTGCTGCCTCCTAAGCCACCTTGAGTTGTAGGGTTATCATCTTCTTAAAGTTCTGTTTGCATATTTTGTCACTCTGTGTTCTTTAAAGATTTCTTCAAAGCTCAAGTGAAGTCAAGAGCCCAGCTGTGCCATCCTCATCCCAACAGCCCCCTGCCCAATCTCCACGGGTGGGCGCAGAGTTCCCCAGGATGGAAGAAAGCCCAACCACATTGATGCCCAAGCTTGGGCGTGGCATCTCAGAAGGAGATGACGTTCTCTTTTTTGATGAGTCACCACCACCAAGACCAAAACTGAGTGCTTTAGCAGAAGCCAAAAAGGTAAGGGGCACCTCTTCTCTTTGACACTTGAATTTGCATTCTGTAAGACAGAGCTTGGGTTTCAAACTCAATATACTTACACCCAGGAAAGACAGACACTTATTAGCTATTTACTGATCATGATAATTAGAGTAAAAGTAATTTTAAATGATAGTAGTGTCAACATAATACCATTAATTTAAGGCAAGGAAGTTAGAGCCATCATCTCAAGACTGCTGTGTGGCAGGCTGCAAGAGATAGCCTAGCAGAAGATAATGTTTTATAGCTAGAGAGCCTGGCATTAAAAAAAAGATTCTTGGAATAGTTGAGGCAAGACTGTAAAATTGTGTTTTAAAGAATCCTTCTTTGGCTCAGTGCCTATAGCTCAAGCAGCTAAGGCAGCAGCCACTACACCAGAGCTGGCTGGTTCAAATCCAGCCCGGGCCTGCCAAACAACAATGACAACTACAACCAAAAAATAGCTGGGCATGGCGTTGTGCTGGGCGCCTGTAGTCCCAGCTACTTGGGAGGCTGAGGCAAGGGAATCACTTAAGCCCAGGGGTTGAGGTTGCTGTGAGCTGTGATGCCACTGCATTGTACCTTAGGCTACAGAGCAACAAAAAAGAAAAGGTCAGTGCTGTCATCACCCCCGTTTTACAAATGAGGAAACTACCAGCACACTGTACCTCATGACTGCAGTAATGTACACAGCTATGATTTAATTTTTTAAAAAATGAGGAAACTGAGGTTGAGAAAGTAATTTGCCTCAGGGGCACAACTAGATGGAATTCTATCCTGCTTCTGTCTGATTCTAAATTTCCAAAATGGTGATGTGGTTCCTTTGTGGATCTGGAAACCCATGGTCTAGCTGATGTGGAACTAGTAGTATTTAAATAAACTGAGGCTTTATTCAGCAGCTCGTAGGCCTGATAGGCCTGTCTAGCATGCTATTAATTCTGCTGGTTGCTACTAGACAATAGCCAGGATTCACTGGTTAATTACCAGAGGGTGGTCCAGGGCGATGGGTGCCTGTCTCATCGTCGAGATCTTTACCTCCCTGTCTTCTCTTTTGTTCTAGTTGGCTGCTATCACCAAATTAAGGACAAAAGGGCAGATTCTTACAAAAACAAACCCAAACAGCATTAAAACGAAGCAAAAGGACGCCCAGGACGTCCTGGAAGTGATGGAACGTGTAGAAAAGAACACCACATCTTCTCCCCCAGGTACTGCACCTTCAGAGTCAGCAGTGGGGAGGAGAAATTGTTCATAGGGAAACTCTCCAAGCCATAACCAGCACCCCTGAGACCAGTCTGCTCTTCCGTTTCCCTCTGCACAGAATAGGATTTCTGCAACTGGAGCTGGTTGTTACTGGTCTTTTTAATAAACACATCACATTGGGAAGAAATCATGGTCATTCGAACATTTGGGAAAAGGATACTCATTGAATCTTTCTATGTACATATTTGCATAACCATACATTCTGGAAGAAATAAAATTCCTTTGTTATAAATTGCCCTAATTTTATTTTCAAAACTCCGAAATTGACAGTGTCATTTTGGAATCGGTTTGTAAAGAGGATTTTCTTATCTATTCTCAGCTCCCTACTCGAAGGGGAAAAGGAGACTCTAATTTAGTGGTCACATCTGGCACCACGCCACGGTCTAAGCTCTGTGCTTGGCGCACCTCTTGAGAGCTTTTCCCTGCTGGAACCAGCGGGGCTTAGGTCAAGTGCAAAGGGCCTGGTGGGCAGAGAGAGACAGAAGGAAGGGCCATGGTGCTCTGTGATTTCTCTGTGCCAGCTCAAGTGCATTCTTTCTACTCCAGCTGAGGATGAATTGGAGCCTGCCGTGAAGAGAAGGAGAGAGCAGCTTGCCTACCTGGAATCTGAGGAATTTCAGAAAATTCTAAAAGCAAAGTCAAAGCACACAGGCATCCTGAAAGAGGTAAGTGCCCAGAAGTTCCAGGACTGTGTCTGTGGCCTTCAAAGCCAAGGTGCTTGTTGTAGGACTAGGAATCTGTCCCTTACTCTTGATAGACCAAGAAGTAGCCGCACATCAGTTCCTTTGAGTTTGCTTTGAAGAGCAGGAAAATTTCTAACAGATTTTAGCTTTGCACTAAAACATATCATTTGATGAAATAGGATGTAAGTGGATTTCAGTATGATGAAGTGTTTGCATGCAGTTATGGCTATGTAATGACGTTGAAATCGCTCAACACTGTTGCTATTGTCCGTCTTGAAATATGAGAAAGGGATTGTTTTTCCATTTGAAACTTTTATATTGTCATTTCAAAAATGTCAATATAACATCCTACCTAATGTAAAAAAGGAAAATACGTTTCCTTTTCGTTATGTAAATGCTTCTCACAGCTACCCTGGGAGAAGTAATGAAGTAGAGGCTTGGATTTATGACTGAGATGGCTAGAAAGGGAGTCTCAGAGGTGTGTTTTCTTAGTACCTTAAATATCTATTTCTGATCATGTGGGGGGGGGGTTTGATTTGGGATTTTTATTCATGAGATGGGGTCTCACTACACTGCCCAGGCTAGTCTCAAACTCCAATATTAAAGAGATTCTCCCACCTCAGCCTTCCAAGTAGCTGGATTTTGTTTGTTTATTTTAAAACAGTAAACGAAGGCCAAGTGTGGTGCCTCAGGCCTATAATCCTAACATTTTGAGATGCTAAGGTGGGTATATTGCTTAAACCCAAGAGTTCGAGACCAGCCTGAGCTAGAGCGAGACCTTGTCTCTAAAAAATAGCCAGGGTGTTGTAGTAGGAACCCATAGTCCTAGCTACCCAGGAGCTTAAGGCATAAAGATCACTTGAACCCAAGAGTTTGAGATTATTGTGAGCTATGACACCATCACAGTCTACCAAGGGTGACAGAGTGAAACTTTATCTCAGAAAAAGAAATAGGCTGGGCGCCTGTGGCTCAAGCGGCTAAGGTGCCAGCCACGTACACCTAAGGTGGCGGGTTCGAATCCCCAGCCCGGGCCTGCCAAACAACGACAGCTCCAACCAAAAAATAGCCGGGCGTTGTGGCGGGCGCCTGTGGTCCCAGCTACTTGGGAGGCGGAGGCAGGAGACTCGCTTGAGCCCA